CAATAATGTGGCTTCTTGTTTTTAACAAGAACAAACAATAACTTAAATATTAAAACACAAAACAGAATCATGTTTTTTACAAACATGTAAAAAACAGAAAACATTGCAGTTTACTCAAAAGTGCATGGAAAATGATGGGTACAAAGTAGAATATTTTTTGAGCAATGCCAAATAAATAACGTGCTTCCTGTTTTTAACAAGAATAAACAATAACTTAAATATTAAAACACAAAACGCAATCACATTTTTTTTATGAACATAGTAAAAAAACAAAATACTAATAAATAACTCTGTTTCTTCTTTTTAACAATAACTTAAATATTAAAATAAGAAACCTGAGTTTCATCCAATTTGCTAAACTTTGGTCACCCTGGATGGGCATGTTTTCATCCTCACTAAATCCTTCACCCCAGACATCTGTTGCCTAGCCAGCATTTCCAATCACATTGAAATAATTCTCTCAATTAAGTCGTATTGATGATTAAATCTCTGAAGTCTATCCCCTCCGCCCAGTAACACAACAAAAGCAAGGAAATAACAAAGGAAAATCAAACAACGAGCCTTAATACTTTAATATCACAATATAATAAAAGTGAGCTTCAAAGCGTTCTCCTACATTTTGAATGCGTGAATTCATCTATCACAGATGAATAATCTAATTTTGAAGCCAGATTGTGTTCAATTGACAAAATTGCCAATGCAAATTATTATTATTACTATGTTATTATTTATATAGCGCCAACAAATTCCGCAGCGTTTTACGGTGGGTGGACGAACAGACATGTAGTTGTGACCAGACAAGTTGGACACACAGGAACAGAGGGGTTGAGGGCCCTGCTCAATGAGCTTACATGCTAGAGGGAGTGGGGTAAAGAGACACAAAAGGTAATTATAGTATTAGACTAATGACAATTGTAAGAGACGATAATCTCTCTTGGCTCATAGACAGGGGTGTATTTTGGATTTGTGCTGCCCTAGGCACGACTAATTTCGGCACCCCCTTATCTAAATTTGCCCCACCAATTTGTGTCAAGGCCTTTTTTTTTGACTGACCGACACACACAAGCACACACTCACAATGTCAGACACACACACACATACACACACACACATGACAGACATAAACACACAGTCACTAACAGTAACAAACACTCATTTTCTCATACACTCACCAATTATTAATATTTTTTTTAAATCTAAAAGGACATATCTCCTTCACCGCCCAGCTAGAATATTAGTACTTTAACACCTGGGGGGCCCTAAGGTGGCAGCATGCTCTAGGGCCCCCCAGTACATAAGACAAACAAGGCATTTACCTGGCCACTTGGGGAGGCATTTTTTGCTGCTCCCCGAAAGTGCCGCCCTAGGCAAATGCCTTGTTTGCCTTGTGGTAATTCACCCCTGCTCATAGATGATCTTAGGTATGTTTTTATTAATTTAAGTTTAGAAAAGCTCCTTTCGGCTGATGCAACAGTGAATGGAATTGTTAAGATGACCCTTAATGCGACATAAATGTTTGGGTAAACGTCAGTTAAGTTATCAATGAGGTGCTTTAGAGAGTTGCACATATCCAATTTTGGAGGGATAGTATGGGTACACATTCGTAGCTCTTTGTACAATTAAAAAAACACTTATGTCAGCAGCAAGAGAATTTGGTAAATTTAGAAGTGCTTCCAGTTCTTTACAAATTTCTAAAAGTTATTCATCAGATTTCATAGATAAAGATGAAATATCAAATATGAAACCAAAATTACTGCTGACATATTCTTTAAAACCTTTAAATGAAGGCTTGGCACTAGTGTGAATCTTATCAACAATAATGTTGAAATATTCTGCTCTGAACCTGTCTGCAGGGTTAACCACTGCTTCATCTGGGCCCTCATAGTCGAACATTCTTTTGGCCCTGCGTATCCTGCACTGTCAAAATTCTCTTGCAATGTTTATTCTTCTGCTATTTCGTTGGCAGCAACTTTGGCAGAATTGTAGTCATTTTGTCTGTAGTCTTCCAACCAGCACAGGAATTCTTCCAAATGTTTTAATGCAGTATCCAACTGCATATTAGACTTTTGCCATACCTTGCTGACTAGGTTTATTTTCACCAAAATCTCATGCCACACAACTAATGATAAAACAAACTAGTGTGATAAAATTTCTCTTTGTAGTGAATTACATTCACTACAGAATGCAGGATCATTACTTTTCTGTGTCACTTCTTTCAGGTATTCAGCAATTTCTTGTAATTGGTAACGGGCAGCCGTTACACTCTCAACTCTGCATTCCCATCTAGTTTAAGACAATGGTTTGAGGGTAATATTTACCTTCTACTTTAAAACAGACCATCTATTGAATGACCCGGAATAAAGTGTGTACAACCTTTGCAAAACACCCCAAAATTATTTTGCTTTTGAACAAAATGCTCACCAAGCACCAATTTCCACCTGTGACATCCACAGGGTACAAAGAAGGCTGCAGTTTTTCATGTCCAAGCCTAATTCATCATTTTCAAACAGTATGGTTTTTGTTAATTCTTCAGCTGTAGTTTTTTCAACCGGTATAAATCCAATGAAATGATCTTCAATATCATCTGACACTTCATCAACATGAGGCAATATCACTGTCATCTGTTCAATATGACTGATATCGGTCATACAATCAAGAATGATTGAGTAATATTTTGCTTGAAGAATTTTTTAAATTATTGTCTGCTGGATGGTCTGCTTGGCAATCAAGGCAATTAATTCATTTTGTATGTTTTTTCCCAAGTAATGGTTGTGAATACGTTTGTCTTCTATTCGTTGTAAATGTTCACGAAAAACAGGATCAAACTTTGCAGAATGCTTTACAAGGTCTATTCAATTGCCACTTTTCTCTTCTTCTAAAGTGTCTCTTTGACCTCTAAATGGTAGGTTGTGAGATGCTAAAAAACTGAACTGGGCTAGGAGTCTTTCTAGAATTTCACACCAACGTTGCTTTTCCAGCAGTATTTGCTTCTGAACTAGTAGTTTTCCCACATCGGAATCTCTTCTCAGCTTCCATCCATGTAATAATGTTCTGTAAATGATCAGAACTGTTTTCGTGAAGATGAAGTAATTGTTCAGGTTCTTCCAGTCACTGCAGCGATCAGACACTAAAGCTTTCCGTGATGATGAAAATAAACGACAGGCAAAACAGAAAACACAGTCCCTGTGTCTAGAATAAACTAACGAACGCCTATCTTGTGTCTACTTGTTGCTTAGAATCCTTGTGTAATGAAAGGTAGAAAAATGCAGTTTTGCACTGTCTAATGGGAAAGTTAAAATGTCTACTCGTATGGTTCTTCTCTGAATAAAATAGACTATCTTTATCTTCCACTGTGGAAGTCCATTCTACAGGTCTTTATCAGGTAAGAGGCTGATAACTAAACTCTAAATGGAAAGAAACCAATTCCTGTGGTTCTTCTGTATCTTCTTCAGATCTAAACAAAAATGTTACGTTGTTCAAACTGATCCGAAGTGCTTGGCTGTGAATCTTCTTTTCGTTCAGTCAAAATGGATTCTGCTTTTTCAGGTTCATCCTCTGGTACCTCTTTGCTTGCAGTTATCTTCCCTGTCTTTAAATATTTTTCCATAGAGCCTCTTAGTTCTTCTTTACATTCCTCAAAAGCAATATTCTTTTTTCTTTTCTGGTGACCGGATTCAAATTTTCACCCCCTATCAAATTCCCTGCTGCTTTTATGCATATTTGTTGTAACAGGATAGAAAACTAATGTAAATTATGATAATCTTTCTTACTAACTACACACAGTATAATAATACACACAATATGAGTAAACAAAGCATTTTTTTCTGTTTTAACTTTTAGAACATCAAAATCAACAATGTTGAAGTATCAATGCAGGAACAGATGTTCTGACTGATTGAAGTTGTTTCTACTACTGGACTCTCAATTGGCCAGAACAGTCAGATTGTTTCCATGCTAAGTCACTTCACTGCTGTAGTTTTGAATATGGTCTGACCCTGCTATAAGCAAATAAACAAAAACAGATTGCTAAGTGTGCCAGGAAACTGAGTTTTTCCATAAATATTTGACGTAGAGAACCTGACCATCTTGCTACAGATCACACATCAAATAACCTCTCTGACCACTTACATGCCCTGCCTTATATCAGGTTCACCACTATCTATGAGATATTATAAATAATGAACAAAACTTCTAACAGGTTATTCATTATCAAACTAATTAACGTGAATTGCTGTCTAATTGATGTCACCCTACTTTAAAGTTAAGGATCCAATGAATTCAGCTGCAACAAACAATACCTCAGTCATTATTAAATCTCTTTTAATGTCGAATTGAAGGAACACTGTTCACCATAAAAAAACGTTATCGAAATTTAGTTATTATGGTGCCAGAACGGTTTAACCTCAAAAAGTTGCCACGAGTGCTGGATCTCTAGTTCCCCCAGTGACATCCGGCTGCTGAATCGAGTTTCAGGAGTGCCACTGATTGACTAGAGAGGTCAGGTGACACTCTAAGCCAATTGGTAGCTCCCAGGAGCAACAGACTGTTTTAGAGCATCTGCTGACCACTGTAGCCAACCAACGGCTCCCGCCTTTCCTGAAACTTAATTTCAGCGGCTGGATGCTGTAGGGGAATCTGGAGATCCAGTGCTGGAGACAACCACTGAGTTTAAACCGTTCAAGAACAGCTTAACACCTTCATGTAGGAAAGCACCCAGGTGCTTCCTGGCACCATAACAACTTAATTTTCATTACATTTCTGTGGTGACCGGAGTTTTCCTTTAACAAAATATGTATTTGAAGTACTGTATTCATGTAAAAGTAAAACCGCTCACTGTCCACTTATATAACAAATCAAATAATTTCACATCTGAAAACATATGCCGATCAGAAGATACTCAAAATCTCAAAATACTGAAACCACACAACTTAAGCAACTTTGAAAAACACTCTCTACAAAGCTTCATAACACACTATATATGGGGACCCAAGCAACAACCCTCAGTGCAACCAACGGCCTTAATACATATATGTATATATATATATATATATATATATATGTGTGTATATATATATATATACACATATATGTATTAAGGCCGTTTGGCCTGTATTTGTGGGAGGGACTTAAATTAATTCACTCCCCTATATAAGGGACACCCCTTACCTGACTAATATCGCTTGAGGTCAGCATCAGAATGATTTCCACTTCCGGGTCATCCAGACTCCATTTTACCTGATTACTCCATGAGGTTTTCTAAGCAGAGCTGTGTCAGGAATCCAGCCACAGGCTTTTCTGGCCTACCACCTTCTTTCTTCAATCCATCGCCGTGGATGGTGTCCAAGTGACTCACAAACCGTAAGTCGACCTACCCGTTACGCCAGGCATCAGTCCCACGGCACCATGCACGGGTCAGGTCCTCACTTTACGGCTGCATTTTGCCTAAGTCTGTTCTAAAATCATTGCATGTTCATGCATATCATTTGTTTAAACTCACTTGTTTATATCTGTCACTGGCTCATTTCGAGCATTAGCATACTCCCGAACGGGAACACATTCTGTTTCAATTGCCTAAACATACTAGGCAATTCTGTGCGTGCATTTCAAATCTCACTGCTCGTTTCGTTTTGTTTCCCTGACATACCAGGCTCACGTTTCGTGCGTTTACAACCCACTAACAGAACTTTGGTTTGTTACAATGAATGTTATTAAGCTATTATGTTTACATATTGTATATTGTATATTGTCAAATGGGTTTGGATTAAAGGGTATTTTTACCATACAATCAGCATTTCTGACCCCTACTGGTCAACAGCAAAACTGTCTTCACATGTCATATATAATTTACCAGCCAATATATTTTAAACATAACCATAAACCATAAATTAAACTCCAGCATGGGCTCAACTTCAGGTGAACTACTGTTACACCAGATATGAGTTGCACTGGTGTGACACTGTGCCCTGGCAGGCCCTGAAACGCACACGCGTGAAGGAAACTGACTGCTATTATATTACAGTCCAAAAAGTTTAGTTTTTTTTAAATGCAAGCTATTGGGACACCAGTGAGTGAGTGGTGGCACTGGGCAGGCCCTGAAACGCACACTAGTGAGGGAAACTGACTCCTATTATATTACAGTCCAAACATTTTTGTTTTTTTTAAATGCAAGCTATTGGGACACCAGTGAGTGAGTGGTGGCACTGGGCACAGTATATGCTGTGAGCCTGACACACAGGCTGGCAGGCAGGCAGGCAACTGCAATTACATTACACAGAAAAAAAAGCAGACTGATGTTCTAGCCCTAAAAAGGGCTTTTTGGGGTGCTGTCCTTACAGCAGAGATCAGATGAGTCCTTCAGGACTGTAGTGGACACTGAATACACTAGCCTAGCTATCAATTTCCCTATCAAATCAGCAGCAGCTACACTATCCCTCCTCTCACTAAGAATGCAGCTTCACAATGAATGTAAAATGGATGCTGTCCAGGAGGTGGGAGGGTCTGGGAGGGAGGGTCTGCTGCTGATTGGCTGGAATGTGTCTGCTGACTGTGAGGTACAGGGTCAAAGTTTACTCAATGATGACGAATAGGGGGCGGACCGAACAGCGCATATGTTCGCCGTCCGTGGCGAACTCGAACAAGCAATGTTCGCCAGGAACTATTCGCCGACGAACCGTCCGGGACATCACTATATCTCACACACCATTAATTATATATTTTACAGGCATTCAACAACACAGGATAACCTATGGCCAAAACTAGCATAACTTCATGCTATCATACCAGACAAGAATATACTCAGAGGTTTTCAGGAATCCATTCCCCCACGTTCCTCTCAGAGATTACCAATAGCCATCCAACTTTTCGACAATCTTTATTTATGTATTTAGTTTTTCAATTTTAACAGGTAAAAGGTGGGGTTTACAGAAGGAAAAGAGGGTGGGATGTTGAACAGTTATTTGGAGTATACAAATGCAGTAGTAAACATCCATAATTGCATAGCATTACTTATTTTCGTGTTTACAGATCACACGTTAGCTGAGAGCTGGAGGGTATGCCTGTTATCTATTGCAATTCAACCCATTCGGTGTATGTGAGTGTCATGTGGCTTTCATAGTCTCATACCTCTAACCATTTGGGTCTTCTTGCAGCCCAGGGCGTGATATTCACGAGAAGGGTGTGGGGCCCTGCCTGAGGTGGGTAATCAGAGGCTATATGTGTGGGTGAGTCTGCTTGTGGTGGAACTTCCTGGCAGATGTTTGTTTATGGTTTTTCATATCCTGTGGATGTGGTAACCTGACCCGCCCCACCTGTGTCCAGGTGCACGTACCCTGTAAGGTATGTCCTTTTCTGTAGTTGGGGGAGCATGAGTATGAGATATGTCCCGTGGGTGTGCGTGCCCTGCGGGGGTATTGCCTGTATGTTGTTGGGTTGCTTCTGAAGCTGAAAGTGGTGGGGTCTATTGTGCGGTAAACCTTGCTTATGGGCCATTTAATTTTAAGGCTTTTAGGGTATCTTGTGTGTATCTGTCCCTTAGATTCGCTTTTGTGGGTTCTATCTACTGTCCCTCTATGGTTCCGTGTTTGGTATAGTATTTCTTTACATGCACATTGCCTTCTATGCCTTTCTCAGCCCAGTGAATCCACTACCATCACCACCACTCAGACTGATCATTGTCTTCAACGATCCCACGTACGTAAACACATATATCATTACCTATTGGCTCTATCACATTCCGAAACGAGTCAACACGCACCAACAGTAGAGATAACATACTATCCTACCCACAACAAATGGTGTCCACTTTCGGTCCTAGATTCCTATCTTCAAAATCATGTAATGCATTTAAGGAAATGTCTGGTTAATTTGTATATATTTGTTGACTGTATTAAATCTTTGATTATTCATTTTTGCCCTCTTTATTTACAGGCCTACCGTATCGTCAGTCTCGGCACACCACAACCGACTTGCTCCCTTTATACTATCCTACGCTTATGCTGGATCCTTACTCCACATACGGCTATTTGCCCCTTACACAAGTATTAAGGCCGTTTGGCCTGTATTTGTGGGAGGGGCTTAAAATAATTCACTCCCCTATATAAGGGACACCCCTTACCTGACTCATATCACTTGAGGTCAGCATCAGAATGACCCTCCCACCCACTCCTCATTTCAACACTTTCTCTTTTCTTTCCATTTACTTTACTTTCTTACTCCTTGGTGGGCCCTCTTTATTTACAGGCCTACCGTATCGTCAGTCTCGGCACACCACAACCGACTTGCTCCCATTATACTATCCTACACTTATGCTGGATCCTTACTCCATATACGACTATTTGCCCCTTACACAAATATATATATATATGTGTGTATGTGTGTGTGTATATATATATATATATATATATATATATATCTATCCAAATAGGTTGGGGAAAAATTGTGATTATATATATATATATATATATATATATATACATACATACATACACAGGTGATACTTGAAAAGTTAGAATATCGTCCAAAAGTTAATTTATTTCAGTAATGCAACGTAAAAGGGGAAACTAATATATGAGATAGACGCATTACATGCAAAGCAAGATAGTTCAAGCCGTGATTTGTCATAAGTGCGATGATTATGGCTTACAGCTCATGAAAACCCCAAATCCACAATCTCAGTAAATTAGAATATTGTGAAAAGGTGCAATATTCTAGGCTCACAGTGTCCCACTCTAATCAGCTAAGAAAGCCATAACACCTGCAAAGGGTTTCTGAGCCTTTAAATGGTCTCTCAGTCTGGTTCAGTAGGAATCACAATCATGGGGAAGACTGCTGACCTGACAGTTGTGCAGAAAACCATAATTAACACCCTCCACAAGGAGGGAAAGCCTCAAAAGGTAATTGCGAAGGGGGGGCGGGGCCCGACCGCCAAGCTGGAAGGACATGGAGCACCTCGGCTCCCCGACGAATCCTGCATAAACAGCCCAAAATTACCCTTTCTCATCTGACAAACATCCAGCTAAGGCAAGACGGTGAAGGGGACCCAAGCAACAACCCTCGGTGCAACCATCGGCTCCCGTCCTGCTGGCAATGCCGACTGACTGGCAGAAGGGATTGTGGCCTGCTGTGAGGCTCTGGCGGGAGAAACGGCCGATCTCCCGTGCTTAGTCTGGCGGGACCTCCCACACCCCCACTGAGGACCCCGTTCTCCCACCCTGTGGGCCGGGGGGGTTATCCCGGACCCCACCAGGGATACAGTGACCATTCAAGCCATCTGAGCGGCGGAAAGACAAACCCGAGACCGCATGGCAAAAACAAGATGTCCGTCGCACCTACTATAAGCCGGAGAACAGAGGCGGTAGCAGCGGAGCAACGGCTGGGCACAGTCTAGAGACCGGTGCTGAACAGAACATCTGCAAACAAACGGCAAACTCCCCACCATACAACAGATAACTGCAAAGGGCGCATACCAAGTAAGCTCTGCTCATTACTAAGAGCACACTCATATCACCCGAGACACCATCTCCCACTGTTACCAGTGGGCCTGTGGGGACTCTAGCAGGACTCTGACTCTGTCTACACATAGGGGAGCAGTGGGCATGGGGCACAGACTCTACTCCCTACCTGAGGCTGGCACCAGCTACATAATTTAGGTGGCCGCGAGGCCCCTTTTAGTGCGAGGCCTTAGGCGGCCGCCTAAATCGCTAAATTAAAAAAAGCCGCCTATGTCAGCGTGTATATCTTAGTGTATGTGTCAGTTTGTGTATCTGAGCGTATGAGCCAGTGTGGGTATCTGAGTGTATGTGCCAGTGTGCGTATCTGAGTGTATGTGCCAGTCTGTGTGTCAGTGTGTATGTGGCAGTGTGAATGTATGCGCCACAGTGTGTATGTGGCAGTGTGTATGTGTGGACATCTATGTGTGTGTGCCAGTGCATGTATCTGTGTGTCAAGGTTTTTGTGTGTGTTTGTGTGTGTGTGTGTGCAAGGGCCTCCTATATGTGATTAAAGTTCAATTTACAGAGCAGTAAATAAAAACCTATAACGTAAGTTAACATCTGATTGAAAATGAAACCATACAGGCTGTGTGAATCACAGCCAGGGGAGTTGTGTTTAGGGCTGTGAGTCTTCAAAGGCATGATCTATACACAAAAACTGCTTCATGAAGCTAAAGTTGTATTGGTGACTATAGTTAAGCACTGGGTATTTTTGCTATTCATTTGTTCATTAACAATTTCAACCTCTCTCATTAAACACATACTCACCACAATTCCCCCAAGTGTGAAATTACACTAACACATATCTATAAAATCTTCTTTAAATGACACTTAATGTGCTTCTGTGCAACATACTTCTGTGCAACTCAATATATGCTGCCAGGTTCAGCAAGACTCTTGTTTTACAACTAGTTAAGCCTTAGAAAACTAGAAGGATCATCTTATCTTACAAAACCACAACAGCTGCAAGTTAATGAAAGCCGTTGCTTCATACACAAGATAGTATATTCTATGAACCAAGAGTTGTGGTGAGTTCACAATGGCTTGCTTAATGGAGGCTAAAATAGCTGAGATGGAACATATTTATAACTCAAGCTCGTTGAAGATTTTTACAACTGTTATTTTGATCTAATATATTTTTTGCTGTACAGTATACTGGCTGTCAGAGTAACAACAGCTAGTTGCAAAAAACTACATGAACATGCATTTTATGTTAGTGATACAATTTCAGAGTAAGTGTTTATAAGTGTAGTGTGTGTCTTTAGGAACTGTAGTGTTTGTGTGTGTGTGTTTAGGGGAGGCAGTGTGTATGTGTGTGTACAGGATGAAGTGTGTGTGTGAAGGTGCTATAGAAAGTGTGTGTCTACAGATGCAATGTGTGTAAGGGTTGTAGTATGTGGGGGGCGCTATAATTTTTATTTAAAACATGTATAACCCCCAAAGGTGTAAAGATGACCTCTGCAAAGTATGTGGAGTTTCTGTCTGACCACTTTCTTCCCTGGTACAGAAGGAAGAACTATGCTTTCCGTAATAAAATCATCTTCATGCATGACAATGCACCATCTCATGCTGCAAATAATACCACTGCATCAATGGCTACTATGGGGATAAAAGGAGAGAAAGTCATGGTGTGGCCTCCATCCTCCCCTGACCTCAATCCTATTGAGAACCTTCGGAGCATCCTCAAGCAAAAGATCTATGAGGGTGGAAGGCAGTTTACATCCAAACAGCAGCTCTGGGATGCTATTCTGACATCTTGCAAACAAATCCAAGCAGAAACTGTCCAAAAACTCATAAGTTCAATGGATGCAAGACGTGTGAAGCTGCTATCAAATAAGGGGTCCTATGTTAAAATGTAACGTGACCTGTTAAAATGTTTAAAAAGTTAAAATGTTGTTATAAGTTTGATTGAAATAGCTTTTGATTTCAGTAAATATGCTGCAAACACAACAAATGACAATTTTCAGTTCTTTACAACCTATAAAGTGTTTTGAATAATTTGGAACAGTGCATTGTAAGTTTTTTATGTTTAAAAAAATACTGTTATCATTAGGAAGTTTGTTCAATAAAATTTGAATTGTACTCTTAAAGGGACACTATAGTCACCTTAATGAAGCAGTTTTGATGTATAGAACATGCCCCTGCAGCCTCATTGCTCAATCCTCTGCCATTTAGGAGTTAAATCCCTTTGTTTATGAACCTTAGTCACACCTCCCTGCATGTGACTTGCACAGCCTTCCATAAACACTTCCTGTAAAGAGAGCCCTATTTAGGCTTTCTTTATTGCAAGTTCTGTTTAATTAAGATTTACAATTATTTATGGTAAATTACATCTGTTTGAAAGTGAAACCAGTTTTTTTTTTTCATGCAGGCTCTGTCAATCATAGCCATGGGAGGTGTGGCTAGGGCTGCATAAACAGAAACAAAGTGATTTAACTCCTAAATGACAGTGAATTGAGCAGTGAAATTGCAGGGGAATGATCTCTACACTAAAACTGCTTTATTTAGCTAACGTAATTTAGGTGACTATAGTGTTCCTTTAATAGTTGATAACATGAGAATTATGCTGACTGTTATTTACATCAATTATTTAGGTAAATGAGAAAAATATCATTTGCATAATAAGTTGGAACAGGGTGTAGTACTAAGCTTGTGCGAGTGAGGCCTTAGGCATGTATGAGGAACTACATGATGGAGCACCTCCATACCCTGGAGCAAGAGCATAGCGGGTGGGGGTGGGGGAATAGGGTTGTTGCCGAAATGAGGCTTTGAGTGGATTAGAGCTACAGCACCTCAATGGTGCTCCGTAATCTGGGCTCACAGGGACAGGGTATGCAATAGCGAGGCAAAGCCTCCTGTCGTATTACGTTACACATACAATAAAGCAAGTAAGACTGATAAAATAGCGATCTACAGAGAACAGCATTAACAAAAATAAAGCATCTTGATAGAGGTAGATAAAGCACTATATTTCTTTGGTGTATGAAATCTTCGGGACCATGTGGACTGCAGCATCATTTCATCCTGGGGCCGTGAATCCAAATGGGGTGAAAGCTGCAATATTGACGACATCCCACTGACGAGGAAGCATGGCTGTAGAGATGTTATATTATGTTCAGACTGCATTATTTTACATAATTTTGTGTCATCTGCAAACGCTGACAAGTGACTTTTATGCCCATTTTATATTCATTTATAAACATATTAACCCCTTAGGGACTGGATTGTTTTTGCGATGTTGTACATTTGCGACCAGGCATATTTTTACACTTTTGTGGTGTTTGTGTTTGGCTGTAATTTTCCACTCTCTCATTTACTGTTCCTATACAAATTATATATTGTTTTTTTTCAGGACAAGAGGGGCTTTCTTTACATACCATTATTTATATAATCTCATGTATTTTCATTTAAAAAAAATAAAAAAATATGGTGAAAAATTGAAAAATATACATGTTTTTTGACTTTTACTTGAAAAATCTTTTACTCATCTACAAAAGCGAATGAAAAAAACTACTAAGTAGATTCAAAATTTTGTCCTGAGTTTAAAAATACCCAGTGTTTACATGCTTTTTTGCTTTTTTTTGCATGTTTTAGGGCTATAGGTACAAGTAGGATATTGCAGTTTCAAAACATACATTTTTAAAATGTATCAATAGTGACATTGTAACACTATTATCCGTCATAAATCTCTGAATAACACCCCACATGTACATATTTTTTTAAAGTAGACAACCCAGGGTATTCAATATGGGGTATGTCCAGTCTTTTTTAGTAGCCACTTAGTCGAAAACAATGGCTAAAGTAAGCATTCATATTTGTTTGTGTGTGTAAAAAGTAAAAAAACTAAATTGAACGCTAATTTTGGCCAGAGTTTGTGACTAAGTGGTTACTAAAAAAGACTGGACATACCCCATTTGCAATACCTTGGGTTGTCTTCTTTTGCAAATGGTATGCCATCATGGGGGTAATTCTCATTCCTGGGCTACCATACGCTCTCAAAGGCAACGTAACCAACCTGGTCATTTTCAATGTAAAAATATTTGACCCTGTAACTTTCCAAAATGCTATAAAACCTGTACATGGGGGTACTGTTTTACTCTGGGGACATCGCTGAACACAAATATTAGTGTTTAAAAACTGGAAAACGTATCACAACAATTATATCATCAGTAAAAGTGCTGTTTGTGTGTGAAAAATGCAAAAAAAGTCACTTTCACTGACAATATCATCGCTGTGATATGTTTTACTGTTTTAAATCACTAATATTTGTGTTCAGCGAAGTCTCCCGAGTAAAACAGTACCCCCCATGTACAGGTTTTAGAGTGTCGTAGAACGTTACAGGGTAAAATACAGTGCTAGCAAATTAAATTCTCTGGACTTTCGGCCTGGGTTGGCAGGCAGGTCCCTCAAATTGCAATCAATAAAATTACTTAATTATGTAAAATATTACATAAATACGCACGTAGAATTTAAATATATATGCATATTTATATATTTGAAGTCTACGTGTATATTTATATAATTATTTATGTAATTTTGTATATGAACATATGTATATTTCGTATTATTTTTTATTTATTTATATATACATAGATATATATACAAATTCATTCTAAGTGTATTTTGATATAAATATATATATATATATTAATTTTAAAATACAGTTAGAATAAAATTTCATCTAGATATATATATTTTTTCAATTTTTATTATTTAAAAAAAATTAATTTAATTTAAATTACTTATTATTTATATTTTATAATAATATATACAATATATATAGTTATTATATATGTTATATATATATATACGTGTGTAATTTAATTATAAGTGTATTTTTATATTAATATATGTACATATTAATATAAAAATACACTTAGTATGACATTATATATATGATATATAGACATATATTATATAGATATAATATATGTCTATATATCATATATATATATATATATATATATATATATACACATATATATAATTTTTTTTATTTTTATTAACACTAACTTTATTTTATTTTTTGATTTTACACTAGCAGGGAGACTGCCTGTCAGCACAGACAGTCCCCCTGCAGGCACACACATGGACACCTATTGTGACCATGTGATCGCTGTGTTAAGCGATCACATGGCCACAGGGGTCTTAATTCAGTGTGGGGAGACTGTCTGGGCTGCAGGCAGTCTCCCCACAATGGGAGCAACGCTGATCGCCGCCGGGGGAACGACGGCGATCAGGTAAGTAACTAGGACCGTTAGGACGGTTCAGGACTGTCAGCGGTCGGCAATGGCAAAATGAACCGTCCGCAGTCCTTAAAGGGTTAAAGAGAAGTAAACCCAGGACAGACTGTGATGCACTCCGATGACCACTTTTGTCCAATTTGACAATTTTCCTTTTACAAGTTCGCACTGCACTCTTTCTTTAAGCTAATGTTTTATTCAAGGACACGACTTAAACAACCAATTTCAGCTTTAATAGTAACTTTGTGTTCAACTATATCA